TCTCTTGCAGAGGCACAGCTCTTCCTGGTGTGGGCTTCCCAGCAGTGCTCTGCAGAGCACTGTGTTCTCCCTCAGACTTCATGGGAGCAGTGCTGCTGCCCAGTGGCATTGGGGGGCCTGTCCCGTTCTCCATAGGTACACGTGGAGCTGGAGACAGCGTGGTTGTGTCTAGCTCTGTATGCCTGTTCCCATGGGTAACAGCCATTGTGTGCCCTGTAGGCACAGGGGATGAGATCTGAGTGGTGCCAGGAGCCATGGGGACACTGGTCATCCAGTCAGTTTGTTTTGGGTAGGCAAGCCCTGCCTGGGGACTGTCCCATCCTGACACCCCTCCAGAGACTGCTGCACTAGAAGGCATCTCCTGCTCCTTGCTGGGGCTCATGGGGTCCAGTGCTGCCAGCACCATCTGTGGCACTGCACTGCCTGTGAGGAGACAGAAAGCAATTCCACCCATACCAACCCCTGAGTATGCTGCTCACCCAAGCACTGGACTGAGCTCTCTGGTGGGCAGGGATCGGCTCCAACCTGGCATTACCTGAACCATCTCCGAGGACAGAAGGCTGCTCTGTTCGGCCAGGGGTCAGCTGGCACATGCCCAGCTCGGGCACAGTGGGTGACATATCCCAAAGTTGCTCGGCACTGATGCTGTCAGGCACGCGGGAGCTGCCAACCGGCTCTGCTGGGTCCTGTGCTGGGACAAGGGGCTCCATGCCTGCTGCTCCCGCATTCCCTAGTGGGGCTTGGGTGTGAGCAAGGGCAGGCTGAGCAATAAGCCCTTTGCTTCCCACTGTAATCCATTGGGTGCCCATCTCTCCTCCCCACCATGCAGGCTGCTGCAGGACAGATCCCCGTGCCTCCTTGTGGTGTGTCCGGCTGCCCCGGTGACGCAGACGACCCCGGCACTCACCTGGCAGCACCCAGAGTCCCCACAGCACCCAGCTCCACAGCAGCTGCACCATGGTGTGGCCACAAAGGCTCCCAGCACCGCTGGCACCTCCTCGCTGTCTGAGGACCAGTGATGCAATGAGGCGGCTCCTCCGGTGAGCACTGCCCTGTGCCAGCCCTCCTCCAGTTACCACTGCCATATGGGGATGCCACATGCCACCAAAAACTCCCCAAGCCCATAGAGACAGCCATGCCCCAGCCCTGAGGGTGTGCTGGTGGCTGGGGTTATCTCTTTAGTCATTGCATTAGCTATGAGGAGGTTTTAAGACCACGTATAGGGTGAACCCGCAGCTGACACCTCAAGGTTAAGATACACTTAGAGCTGATCACCTCTTGAGACCACTCAATGGCCTGCGAAAGGCCACAGGATGGCAAAGGGGGCTCAGGTCTCCAAGATTGCAGGGAGGGGGTGCTCGCCAAAACTCCATTGCCCACCCCACCTTGTTTGCTGCCAGGTCCCAGCCACGCTTGGCCAGGTAGACGATAACCCCCAGAACCCGTGGGCCTGCCGCCAAGGAGGAACAAGGAAGGGAGCACCTGCCTTGGGGTCCTGCACTGCTTAACCCTTCCCCATCCCCTGGGGCACTGCACTGCCCCCCAGGATGCACAGAGACCGAGCAGCGCTCATCACACCCCCACCTGGCCCCCAGTAGTGCCCACCCCACCGACCCCATGCTCCCAGAAGTGGGGGGCATTGTGCTAAGGGCCCATGACCTCAACATGGCCGTTGCGTGCAGGGGGTTATCTGCGCCATCGGTGTGTATCCATTGCAAACACCCACGCAGATCCGGGCGGGGGGGGGGGGGGAGAAGAGAGGGGTGGTTTCGTGCAGGCTGGGCCGTGCCTTGCTTGCAGGTCACCTTAAACCAGGGAAATGCACCCAACAGCCCCCCTGCACCCATCGTTCCCCCCCTGGGGACCACCAACGCCCTACCTCACACCCGTGCTCACACACCCAGGTTTGGGCACCGAGGTCCCCCTTCCCCTCTGCGAGGTGGCACCTTGGGACACCCAGGCAATGCATTCCAACAACGCTTTGGGTGCACCGAGTGCCACCCCCAACCCCCGCTCCCCAGCACCTGGCTGCGGCTCGGCGGTGCCATGCGGTTGCACAACCCCTTTGTTGTGTGGGTGGGGGAAGAGATGCAGGGCTCGCCGCTCCCTGCCTGGGCATGAGTCACACAGTGCTCCAGGCACATCTGCTGCGGGGCGCTGGGGTGGCACGGCCTCGGCAGGGTACAGGGGGCACTGGGGCCGTGCCATGGGGTCACCCCAGTGTGCGCCACAGGAGCATGCGTGCGTCCTTCCTGCGTGCATCAGGAACGCCTGTGCGTGCTGGCAGCAACCCAGGAGCTGGGCACGAGCACCCTCCTCCTTTCCATTGATTATTTTTATATATATAGATATATAATATATATATAATATAATATATATATATTAAAATTACATTTCTCTTTACAAAAACAATTCGACATCAGGCCAAGGGATGGAGCTCATCTCCTCAGCCAGGGCGCAGACCCCCAGACACAGGGGCTGTGGCATAGTCTCAACTGTTGGCAGGATCCTTTTTGGGGTTGCCCCCATCCCCCAGGTGGGGCTCAGTCCAGAGTCCAGCAGCAGATGGTGGGATCGGGGTGGTGACCCCGCAGTGAGACGCCTGCTCTGGGTCCGGTATCGCTCACCTGGTTCCTGCTGTCACCGCCTGCAAGGAGAGCATATGAGATCAGGGGGTGACAGAGTTGGATCCCATCCCCAGAATAATATTCATGGACCTACTTCTGCCTGGAGGAGCTGTAGGGGTCGAGGAGGTGGGAGCTGGCCTGTGCCAGGTTCCAGTCGAACATCTCCAGCACCCGGTGGCACTCCACACGGGACTTCAGCCCCAGGCAGAAGAGCTGCTCCACCTGCAAGGGGACACAGGGCATAAGGATCGGGGTGCCAGGGATTGTTCCCACCCTGCTGGCAGCAGGTGCTGCAGCATGCTGTACCTTCAAGTACTGGATGGCACGTTGAACATTCCAGCCGTGGTTCTGCAGGGCTGCCTGGCACTCCTCGGTGGTGACGCCATGCACTGTGTCCTGAACCTGGGGAAGAATGGAGGTCACTGTGTGTTACTGTGGGCAGCAGAGTTGGGGGGTCAGGGAGATACTATGGCTGCCACCCCCAAGACTCCATTCCCAATCAGGAGTTGGGCACCAGCAATGGGGTGTCAACATGGTGTTTCTGCCTCCTGGGCTGGGGTGACAGCCACCTTCCTCTTAGACCCATGGATCTAGCTGCAGGTAGGGCTAATTTGGGTTAAAAGGGCCCTCAATCCCCACGTGGGAGCTGCAATGACACTCCTGCATGTCTTCAACCCTCTGCAGGTTGAACATTGGGAAACAGATGCACGGGGTGGGGATACCTGTTGCCAACGGCCACCTGGACAAAAGTCACCACGTCCCTCCTTACCAGCCGGATCTTCTCCGAGGGACGATAACCATCTGGCCCATCATATACGATTTTCTGGAGGCTGCAGGAAGCTTTCACCAAACACTTGGGCCCGAGATTGCTGTTGTTGGACGAGAAGTTGGCCTTGTAGTCAGGCTGCTGCTGCACCATGGGCCGGACGGTGGCCGTGGTGACCATGCGGGATGCTGGTGCCTCTTCAGGGCTTTTGGCCTCCTTGAAAAACTTCTCATACTTGTCCAGGTAGGCAGGGCGCTCGGGCAGCAGGTAATAGTGCGTGCTGCTGACCTTCTGCCCATCCTTCACAATGGGCAGGATGCAAGGCCCCTTGGAGCAGTCCTTGCCCTGTGCCTGGATCACTTTGGGGGTAGCGTATTTGGGGTCCAGGGCAAAGCTCTGCGTGGTGGGCATGGGTTTCCCCGGCGATGTGGACAGGCAAGAGCAGAGGGCAGCCCGCTGCTGTGGGGAGCCCACCTGCAGGGCCATGGGGCTGGGCGTCCGTGAAGTGGGCTGTGACAGTGGGTCCCGAGGGGGGATTTGGGGTGGCCGGTCCTCTTCGCCCCCCCGAGGCTGGGGACAGCTCCCCAGACCAACGCCCAGGTTCATTGCGGCGCAGCGGCCGAGGAGGGATGGGAACGCGGGGTGGGATTTGGGGTTTGTCGTCAGCCAGGCACGTGGATGGCCCCCGGGGCACGTTGAACCTCTTCATGCACTCCTGCTGCAGCTCCTGGAAGATCTCAGTAGTCTGCATCAGGCTGGGCTGCTTGGTGTCCTTGGGGGGGCAGAAAGAGGTTGTCCTCCAGCCCCGCCGCCCGCTCACCCTCATCCACAAAGCCGTAGTTGGTTTCACCCCGCTCACGTGCCCTGGGAAGGCCAGCACGGCTGCCCCGTCGCCCCAGGGGGCTGTTGATGGAGCACACCTCGAAGTCATCCTCGTCCTGTGCCACGTCATCGTAGGCGGGCGGTGGGGGCAAGGGCCGGGCGTCCCAGTCCACCACCGGCGTGGGGTGGAGGGGCCGGGGCAGGGCCCGTGTGGGGCTTTGCGGGGGGGTTTTGTCCAGCAGCGAGAAGGCTTCCATAGCCAGTTTGGCGAGGGAGGGGGCCGTCAGCTCCCCCACGGGCGAAGGGGTAGTGGGGGGCACCTCCTCCCCAAAGTCAATGAGGGTCACCTCGCCGCTCGTTGGTCCCTCACTGGGTGACCGGCTGGGTTGCCGCTCGCCCACCTTGGTGCCCGGCACGCGGGCAGAGGGCTTAGCAAGCCTCAGGCCCTTCCCTGGACCTGGCTTCTTCAGGCAGAGCTTTCGGAGGCCTGCTGACAAGCCCTCGTCCTCCTCACTGACCGGGTCGTAGGAGGGCTCTAGGAAACAAAGGAGAAAGCAGTGAGTATCCTACTGCACTACCCACCAATATACCCATCCCACGTCCCCAGCTGCTGCCAATCTCAGAGGTGACTCCAAACTCCAACTCCTTCTCAAAGCCACAGTAAGACTCCAGAAAGCTCCCCACAGCCCCATGGCACAGCAGCCTCAGCCACCCCTCACCCTGCTCTGTGGGCAGGGTCCATGGTGAGCC